CATGCAATAGTAATTTATCCATATATATGTTTTTTTAAGAACATTAACTAGAAATTACTTATAACTAGGGATTTCTTCTATCTCATAATCGTTACCTGGGATCACGTCCGTTTTAAGTCCCATGTCTTGCTGGACATCCTCTCAAGTGATGGAATACGTAACATGTGACACACAAACAAAATGAAAACAAATATTTATTCAGATAACAAAAATAGACTTAAAATCATGTGAAAAAGTGCAACATAACCAACAATAAGATGACGGTAACAACGAACAACGACATTTTACAATGATGACACAGTTTTAAATAAGAGGCACAAAATCTAAAATGCGTAACTTACATATTCCAAACAGACTTTCCCCTGGTACTTAAGTGCCGTGTCATCACCAGTGTCGGAAGTAGTATTGACGGACGCTAACCATAGTCTTAAAGATCTGTTGTGTGGCGCGGCTCACCCTCCGTTGCATTGGAGGACCAACATTAGGCCAGCCGTAATTTTTATGTGTTTCTCAACTCCAACTTCAACTAACACGGGCAGGCGAAAGGTGAAAAATGTAAATAAAATGCAAAATGAATACAAAACAAAATCTAAATGCGTAACTTATTCCATAAAACTATAGATGAAGAGGATCAAGCTGATTTTGGTTTTGCATGAGTGTGCAAGTGAAAGAGCATTTATTTATCACATTGGGGCATACATGTCCACAGCGGCAGGGGAATTCAAGATGAGAAGGTTTAACTTCGGAATGGAAATTCGGGTTGGAGTGAGGAGCAGGAAGTGGGAGATGGGACACACAGCTGGAAATGGGAAACACAGTTGGAGATGGGAAACACAGTGGGAGATAGGAAAGATAGTGGGCGATGGGAAACACAGTTAGAGATGGGAAACGTAGTGGGAAATAGGGAACATAGTGGGAGATGGAAATGGGAAACACAGTTGCAGATGGAAAAGATAGTGGGCGATGGGAAACACAGTTGGAGATGGGAAACACATGGAAATGGGAAACACAGTTGGAGATGGGAAACACAGTTGGAGATGGGAAACACAGTTGGAGATGGGAAACACAGTGGGAGATGGAACACAGTGGAGATGGAAACACAGTGGGAGATGGAAACACAGTTGGAGATGGAAAACACAGTTGGAGATGGGAAACATAGTGGGCGATGGGAAACACAGTTGGAGATGGGAAACACAGTGGAGATGGGAAACACAGTGGAGATGGAAAACACAGTGGAGATGGAAACAAGTGAAAAAACACAGTTGGAGATGGGAAACACAGTGGGAGATGGGAAACACAGTTGGAGATGGGAAACACAGTTGGAGATGGGAAACACAGTGGGAGATGGGAAACACAGTGGAGATGGGAAACACAGTGGGAGATGGGAAACACAGTTGGAGATGGGAAACACAGTTGGAGATGGGAAACACAGTGGAGATGGGAAACACAGTTGGAGATGGGAAACACAGTGGAGATGGGAAACACAGTGGGAGATGGGAAACACAGTGGGGGAGATGGAAATGGAGATGGAAACACAGTGGGAGATGGGAAACACAGTGGGAGATGGGAAACACAGTGGGAGATGGGAAACACAGTGGAGAGATGGGAAACACAGTGGAGGATGGGAAACACAGTGGGAGGATGGGAAAGACAGTGGGAGATGGAAAAACACAGTGGAGATGGATGGGAAACACAGTTGGAGATGGGAAACACAGTTGGAGATGGGAAACACAGTGGAGATGGGAAACACAGTGGGAGATGGGAAACACAGTGGGAGATGGGAAACACAGTGGAGATGGGAAACACAGTGGAGATGGGAAACACAGTGGGAGATGGGAAACACAGTGGGAGATGGGAAACACAGTGGGAGATGGAAACACAGTGGGAGATGGAAACACAGTTGGAGATGGAATGGGAAACACACAGTGGGAGATGGGAAACACAGTGGAAAGATGGAAACACAGTGGGATGGGAAACACAGTGGGAGATGGAAACACAGTGGAGATGGAAACACAGTGGAGATGGGAAACACAGTGGGAGATGGGAAACACAGTGGGAGATGGGAAACACAGTGGGAGATGGAAACACAGTGGAGATGGAAACACAGTGGAGATGGGAAACACAGTGGAGATGGGAAACACAGTGGGAGATGGAAACACAGTGGGAGATGGAAACACAGTGGGAGATGGGAAACACAGTGGGAGATGGAAACACAGTGGGAGATGGAAAACACAGTGGGAGATGGAAACACAGTGGGAGATGGGAAACACAGTGGGAGATGGAAACACAGTGGGAGATGGGAAACACAGTGGGAGATGGAAACACAGTGGGAGATGGAAACACAGGAACACAGGAGATGGGAAACACAGTGGGAGATGGAAACACAGTGGGAGATGGAAACACAGTGGGAGATGGGAAACACAGTGGGAGATGGAAACACAGTGGAGATGGAAACACAGTGGATGGAAACACAGGGAGATGGACAGTGGGAGATGGAAACACAGTGGGAGATGGAAACACAGTGGAGATGGAAACACAGTGGGAGATGGAAACACAGTGGGAGATGGAAACACAGTGGGAGATGGGAAACACAGTGGGAGATGGGAAACACAGTGGGAGATGGAAACACAGTGGGAGATGGAAACACAGTGGGAGATGGAAACACAGTGGGAGATGGGAAACACAGTGGGAGATGGGAAACACAGTGGGAGATGGAAACACAGTGGGAGATGGAAACACAGTGGGAGATGGAAACACAGTGGGAGATGGGAAACACAGTGGGAGATGGAAACACAGTGGGAGATGGAAACACAGTGGGAGATGGAAACACAGTGGAGATGGAAACACAGTGGAGATGGAAACACAGTGGGAGATGGGAAACACAGTGGGAGATGGAAACACAGTGGGAGATGGAAACACAGTGGGAGATGGAAACACAGTGGGAGATGGAAACACAGTGGGAGATGGAAACACAGTGGGAGATGGAAACACAGTGGGAGATGGAAACACAGTGGGAGATGGAAACACAGTGGGAGATGGGAAACAGATGGAGATGGGAGACAGTTGGATATGGGCAACACAGAAAACAATAGGGGCTGCCTCACATGTGCCATCGTGACGTTAGGACCACTTTCAGTTGCAGGGTGAAAGAAACGGAAGCTACAAAAGTTCGAGACTGCTTTCTCAGACTCGACCCAGTACTTCTTCTGATACAGGGATCTCAGCGATAGACGATTGCTACTCAAACTTGTGTAGACCTAACACAGTCATAGCACTCAGTTCCACCAATTCTGCTCCCCTCCTTGTGGATCTGTTTCTTTATGCATATCAATCAGTATTTCTGCTAGGGTTGGCAAAATCAAAACAGGGTAATTTGGCCAAGAAGTTTAACTTAAGCTCCCGATACATCGATGATCTAATATCGTTCAATAACCATCAAGTCGCCAATTGCCTTCCACTGATTTAGTCACCTGAACTTGAAATTAAGGAGACAAGTGAGACCGCCTCAACTGTTTCATATTTACATCTATACGTAAAGATTCAGAGTGACAGAACACTCTCCACAAGGCTGTATAACAAAAGGGATGATTTCAACTTTCCAATAGTCAACTTCCCTTTCATGTCGATCAATATTCCAACAGCTCCAGCCTTTGGTGTTTACATTTCACAACTTTTGAGATACAATCGAGGGTGCTCTTTCAATCAGGATTTCAAAGAGCGTCATGCCACTCTTGCTCAGAAGTTGTTTGATCAAGGTTACAACATTCAAGGCCTCAGTAAAGCTTTCAAGAAGTTTTTATGGTAGACATGTGGAGGAAATTTCTAATATTGATGCATCAGTGACAAAAATGATCTCCGATGCAATTCCCTATTTTGACTTATACCATACTTTCAGGAATTATTTCAGGTGAACAAATGACTAGACATACCATATGTTTATGACGGGTGCCACCGGTGGGGCAGGATACGCCCACCTTTTCACTAACACCTGGTATCATCGCTATTTCATAGTGATTCATAAACACACGCTGTGTCATGGTATAGCATGATGACATTCACTGGATTGTCTGTTCACAAACAACATCATACAGCTGTAATACTGCCGACACAAATATCTGCTCACGATATAGTCACAATTGTACAATCGACTCTGCTTTTGGAAAGGGTTTTGTCGCTTCTATTTGTAGAAGAGGACCCGGAGGTTCGTTCCACAAATCCATAGATGATGAAAAGGTGGAGAATTCAGGTAACAATGGCTGGTGGTCTCGTATAAAGGTGCATTGACGGCGAGGAATTGCACTGAAATAATGTAGGGACAAATACGGGCGATATGCCTTCGCTAGTCGCAATGCCATAAATGGACCATTGTACCAGTCGCTCAGCTGCTGGGCGAAAACATAAAGGGTAGTTAACTCTATCAGGTAAATATATTTAGGGACCGTTCATAATTTATGCCTGGGGAAGGGTGTCTGTGTGTGATGATTTGTATGGGGAAGCATGTACAATGTGCCCCCACCCCCCAAAATTTATATACTAAGTAAGTGACTTCCCATGCATATTTTTATGTGAAAAAGTGCTGTCCCCCCTAGTGCATGTGTACAAAATTGATGACCCCCTTCCTCCCAAAAACAAAATGGGTGACCCCCTAACACACACACCCCAACCATAAATTATGAACGGTCCCTTATGTTTATGAAAATTGGCACTTGACGGGTGAAAGTGTCTCGACCAGTTATTCATGTAAAAGTACCCTTCAACAATCGATTCGACATTGGACAGAGAAGTCTACCATGTGTCGGGAAGTGAAGGACGGACAGTAGGATGGATAAACATACACCTGGAGCTAATGGGGGGACTGAATACTGCCTCATTATTCACCATATAACAACTAACATTTGAAACAGTCGAACATATTTTGTAAAAACTCAAAGCAGTTGACGTTGTTGTAGAGGATAAGAACCGTACACAATGATGTACACACACATGTACAAAGATATACTCACATATACAAAGATATACTCACATATACAAACACAGACAAACAAATGGAAACGACAAAATAATTCCATAGAAACTACAATAAAACGTGTACGTCCTACACTGACGCGCAAAAGAAAGTATACCCCAATGTTTGATGATGGCAAAAATGAAACAAACGAAAAATGATCTATTTCAAATCGGGTATCGTCGTTGTATGTGAGACAAAAGGCTTGCAGTGTTTTTTTGCGACTGTTTTGATCCTTGTAAAGTTTTAATAAGGTTTGTAATGTTTTGGTCAAGTTCAGTTTCTTTGTGTATTCTTATTTCACCCGACAATTGGGGTACACAACCCACACAACAACCATCAACAACATGTATTCACTATCTCATATCGCCAGTCTTGATACATGGAATGGTGGGAATCGGAAACCAGTCGTACATCCTCAAATGTTAACAGCATTATCTATTAATTTGATGCTTTTATCATTTCATGATGTAGAGTCAAAACGATCTGAAACGATGGATATAGCAGTACGATGCTTCACAGTAAGGGCAGGTCACACATCCGGGTACTTCACACCCACGACTGGGGAGTATGGGAGTTAGAATAAAAGCGAGAACAACGTATATACGTCTTGTATTTTTGAGATCGGTAAGAGAACAACATTTTTAACTCTCGCCTGAAATATGCCCCTGTGATGCTGTACAAGAAGAAATTGATGCAATAATTAATATAGAAAATAGAACGAGTAATCCACAGTGTTCCTTGGAAATGTTCAAAGTCACGGAAGTCGTCGAATTTAGCTAAATGAACGAATTTGGAGGTGAGAAACAGCTTACACCACGTGGAGAAGTAGGGCACATTGAACACTATGAAACATAAAGACACCGCTAGGAGTATCAAGGTGAACTCCAGGCGTATGATACTCTCCTCCGTGATGATCTTACATGCTATCTGCCGCTTGTTCCTCCGAACCAGCTTCCTCACGATGAGCAGATTGAGGACTGTGATGATACAGAAGGGCACGAGAGTTATCATGACTGCGAAGATACTATCCAGGATAAACGACAGGTGTCTGTACTCCGGGTTAGTGGTACACATCCGACCCCATTTCTCCACATCGTTCACAATACTCAGTATTGGTTTAAAGATGTTGAGGACGAGCGACGCTATGACGAGTCCCCCTACGATACGTCTGGTGCTCGACAGCGTACAAACGTCCCGTCGGCGTAACGGATGACATACGCCGATGTAGCGTTCCACGGTGAAGGCCACGACTAGCCAGGCAGAGAGGAATCTGGATGCGTAGTGGAAGTACATTATCATCTGACAAATGCCATTCACGTGCATAAACGTCACCCGCTTGTCTGGGTGAAGTACGGGGATTCCCCTAATCAGCCATTCTATCATGACGTAGAACAACAACGCTGTTAAATCTGACGTGGACAAGGCGGCGAGGTAGGTGCTGGCGGAGAGGGTCCGCATGTTCTTCGACAAGAAGACGTTGAGAGACAAGGAGTTACCAAGGATGCCCACGATCATGATGATGGGGGTGAAGTAGGCGTAGAACTGGCGTCCCATGGTCAAGATGGCTGGTTTGCTGGGATCTTGGTGGTCAAGCCAGTCCATGACGTCGTCGTATGTACAGTTGGAAGAGTTCACAATCTCCATATTCGGGCTTTCGGCCCAAATTTTCACCATGGCGACGATGTCTGTGTTGGTTAAGCATCTTATGCTGGCGTTTCCCTAGAAATATATGGATAAAATAAAATTAGAATGAGGAACCACAACAACAACCCAAAAACAAAAACCAAGCAAACCCCACCCCCTCCAAAAATAGTAAAATATAAATAAATTAAAAAAAGAATATTAACCCAAAACGAAATAAACATCGCTCCCACGCACATCAAAAAGTAATCTATAAAAAAAGGAAAAAAGATTGAACAATACGAAATAAGTATTTAAAAAAGGGAAAACAATATAGCACCCCCAAGGGAACCCAAACCCTCCAACCTATAAAACAGTCCTACCCCCTTCTCCCCCTCAAATAGAATGCAACAAACAGAAAAAAACATAACAAAAACCCAACCCAAAGCCAACAAACCCCAAGAACTTCAACAAACACCACAAAAACAAACTTATGTAATGTGAAAAACACCAAATGAAACGGTGTTAGAAAGTTAGAAGATAGAAAACTTTAAGGCACAATGAGCAATGGTGAACCAAACTATTTTCTCTGTATTCTTCCCTACTCGTATCTTTAACTCGACCTTCTCACTGGGCTATGTGCTGACGGTGCCTTCCGCCGTGTTACCATACTGAAGCACATGTCGTAAATATATACTGCCATCACAGGAGTCGGAGGTCCACCCGGCGTCTTCATCTTTACACACCAGCGTTATCCTACCGTGCAGCTTTGTACGTTTGACCTGAACATGGTTTATGTGCATGCTCTATAGGTTATGGTTGGTTATATCCCAAAACTTCCACATCCCAATACTACCACACATTGTTAAAACAAAAACTCCTCATCACCCCTTTTTAGGTAATAGGATAGCCCAGGAAGTGCACTGAACCGGACTTAGAAGTAGAGATTTTAGTAGAGAAGGGAGCAGTAAGTAAATAAATCTGATTAATATAAATTCGTGCATATTTTATATAGGCAAAAAATGTTAAGTTTTGTTTTCTTGTTTTACCTTGAAATGTTGTTGATTACGTTCATAGTATTCTGAATATACAAAACATAAATTCTCCGAGCTTAATGTATATCTAATGTATATTAAAATAGGTAGTTTTACAAAATAATATGACCAATGAGTTTTGAAATTTTATATTTATTGCTTGAAAGGGGCCAACAAACAAAATAATTCCTTTCAATTTTGATTTGCAAATATATAGTAGTATGTAGCAAACAAATTCAAAATGAGAATGTGAATTGTATTATGCTTACTTGAAGCTCTACTACCAAACATACTTGCACTACCAAATCCAGGAATAAACACAAAAATGTCTGTGATATTAATCATGATATGATGACATCGTTATGCTTTTATTTATCAAACAAAAAAGAACATGCGGAATCATGCGGGCGATAACAGAGTGAACAGTTGACAGTTTTGCCCTGAACTATTATTGTTAAAGTACGAGGAAGCTTGCGTGTACTGTATTACACTATACATGGGGTAGAGCGAACTGAATTTCAAAGGGGGCTGATATGACATTCATGTTTGTACAATGCCAGGACCAGGAAAATGGTTCATCATTCTGTTGTCCCGTTGAACATCGAGTGAGTGAGTGAGTGAGTTTAGTTGTACGCCACACTTAGCAATATTCCAGCTATATGGCGGCTGTCTGTAAATAATCCAGTCTGGACTAGACAATCCAGTGATCAACAGCATGAGTATCGGCCTGCGCAACTGCGAGACTGACCACCCGATCCCGATAGCCGCCTCTTACGACAAGCAAGGGTTACTGAAGGCTCATTCTAACCCGGACCTTCACCCGTTGAAAATTGATATCATGGTTGTAATTACCATGTTATATGTAACGTATTCATACTCTATCTACCATTCACGAGAGCGGTCTTATTATATTTACCTGTGACGCAACCATTTTATACCTATCTGTGACGCGGGCATGTCATATGTACCTGTGACATGGTCACGTATATGTACCTGTGACATGGCCATATTATATGTACCTGTGGCATGGTCATGTTTTATTTACCTGTGACATGGTCATGTTATATTTACCTGTGGTATGTTCGTACTATATCTACCTGTGACGCGGTCATGCTATATTTACCTGTGACATGGTCATGTTCTATTTACCTGTGACAGGGTCATGTTCTATTTACCTGTGATGTGGTCATGTTATATTTACCTGTGGTATGTTCGTACTATATCTACCTGTGACGCGGTCATGTTATATGTACCTGTGACATGGTCATGTTATATTTACCTGTGACATGGTCATGTTCTATTTACCTGTGATGTGGTCATGTTCTTTTTACCTGTGACGTGGTCACGTACAATGTATATGTACCTGTGACATGGCCATGTTATATGTACCTGTGGCATGGTCATGTTTTATTTACCTGTGACATGGTCATGTTATATTTACCTGTGACAGGGTCATGTTCTATTTACCTGTGATGTGGTCATGTATATGTACCTGTGAGGTGGTCATACTATATCTACCTGTGACGCGGTCATGCTATATTTACCTGTGACATGGTCATGTTCTTTTTACCTGTGACATGGTCATGTTCTATTTACCTGTGGCATGGTCACGTATATGTACCTGTGACATGGCAATGTTATATGTACCTGTGACATGGTCATGTTTTTTTTACCTGTGACATGGTCGTGTTCTATTTACCTGTGACATGGTCATGTACTATTTACCTGTGATGTGGTCATTTTCTATTTAACTGTGGCATAGTCATACTATATCTACCTGTGACGCGGTCATGCTATATTTACCTGTGGCAAGGTGCTGGAGAGACCAGGGAGGGATGCCGGGATGCCGAGGTCAACTGCCAGCTCTTCCTCCATGGTGGCAGTTCAAGACACTAGTCACTGCAGGTTTACATATCTGCAAAACACAGAAAAGGAAGCGATATTGTACAGCAATTCACTCTGACATGAGACGGTGAACATTGAGTTGAGCGTTTACCAGTAAGTGTCAGCATTACCCCAGGATCAAGCGAGAAGCAGACATTGTGTGTGTGAGAGGAGGAAGGGTTGGGACGGATGGCGGTGTGGGTGTGTGGGAGGCAATCAAACCTGGGCCTGGATTTTCGAAGCTCTCTTAGCGCTAAGATAGTCGTAAGTGCCATACATTAACATTAACTTACGACTATCTTACCGCTAAGAGAGCTTCGAAAATCCAGGCCCTGGACGTGCATTCTATCGTCACAATTACAATGTACTGACATTAAAGGAACCCACACTAGCCTTCTCTACATGTATTTACTTATATGACCCAATCAATATACGTACAGTGTATTGAAATACGGAACTGAAGTATGGATCCGATGTAACAGATACACATACAAGGGCCTGTTGTGCTGAAAGATCCCTATCCATAGCTTCTGACCTTACATTGAAGAACAGTCAATTGAATTAAATGTTCATTAATCGAAGTGGATTAAATGAGTGAGTGAGTGAGTCGAGTCTAGTCTAGTTTTAATAATAATTCAGAATATTTATAACGCGCCTTTCCAGGCATCATAAGGATGCTCATCATTATTACCCCGGATAACTCAAGCTTCCTATGAGGCACTAGAAGGTAAATAATCACATGACTTATACCACCATTTTCTGGTGGGCGAACGCAGATAATTTTAACAAACTCACTTGCCTAAGGCGAGGGCACATGTATCACATGTGCTTCATGTGCTTGTAAACCTACACCACAGCACCGCAGGGTCAGGCTGAGGCAGTATGGAGGACATTTTATTCCAGAAACGGTTCATAAAACAACAGTCGTGATGACGCTATTGATCAAAAATGTATCTAATCATAAAGTCTATTTAAGTCTCACGTCTTTCGCATTAAGCTTAAGCAATAGTATTTAGTTAATCTATAATAGTCAGTTAGTTCCTTTGGATTTCTTTGAATTCTGTAATTTTCCTTTGTGATCTTCAGGTATAGCCAAGTAAAACAATTTCTATTGATATATTTATATTTATCCGAGCTTCTGATAACAGCCAATTTTTCAAATCATTCTTAACGTAGCGTATATAATGGCATTCCCTGAACAAATGGAATATAAACTCCTTTTCTGTAGAACAAAAGCTGCATAAATCGCTTTCAACGTCTTGTTTATGTGTTTATACAATGAAGTTTCAAGCAGTCAAACGATGTTTCATTGTACACAAATAACGAATTAATGCCTACCAAAATAAATGAAAAATCAAACAAAACCAACAACAACTCACAAAATGCCAAAAGGAAAAACAAAAACCAAACCAAAAACCAAACTAGAAATAATTAAAATGAAACAAAAAAACAAACAAAAAAACCCCATAAAGCAACAGTTAACACATGAGCAATGTGATCCCCTCAGTATCATGTACTGATTGTTCCCAGGGACTACTCCCATTTGCGAGAACTCCCAATTGTGAGACTCCCAGTTATGAGACAGTGGACTAGGTAATTAACAAAGAAAATACACCATACTCCCCTGTCTGATAGAATGGATTAACCCTAGCTTATTACTGATTTGAGATGTAAATGAATTTTGTGGAGGTAACTAAATGAAACTTACTTTATTTATATGTACTTAAAAATATATTTATGCAAAAGTCAATATCGCTGACGTCACATCCTCCATTTCATTTTGTATTTTATGTTGCATGGGAGCGGTGTTAACATAAGCAGTAATGCTTGTTCACCAATCCCAATTCATTTTCATAAATGATAATAAAATATGTTTAAACCAAAATGACTTTCAAACTTCATAATAGTGAATAAAAATGTGTTATCATAATTACTATTCTTCTGAATAAATAAAATATTTAATGAACTATTTCTTCTGTGTAAATATAATCTTTGATAATCTATTTCATTAATCAACTCATCAATGAACTATGCCTCCTGTGGGTACTCTTCAATAACTTGGCTGATCCCACTTTCATTGTAGGGATGTGGTAACACCACCTATGTGCACTGAACCATTAATTAATTTGTCTCACAACTGGGAGTCCTCACAAATGGGAGGACACCGTTCCCAGCATACCGACACACTAATCTAAAGCCGGCAAGTGTCATCGTCTCAGCGATGGTCACCCACAAAGAGTAGTCTGCAACACTTCTTCATGGAATGCAACTTAATCTATATGATCATATGTGCATACTGAATTCCACTTCAAACAGCCAGCACTTTTAACATATAATACCATGGGATCACATGTAACCTTGACTGAACTGTATTGATACGAACGCTGACAAACTGACGGCGCGGAATCCTGATGGAGACCAGAGTACGTTGTGTACGGTATGGAATCTTCATTATTATAGATAAAATACATGGAATATCATGAAACGGCCCTCCCATAATCAGAAATTTGAGGGCCGCTGCAAATGATATTGGACCGCTCAACCTTAACGACGGGCCACTATCAGTTCTGTTGTCAAGTGACGTCATAGTGGGTGCGTGGGCTTACGGTTCATTCGACACTGGCTTTGGACTGGCAGATATTCTGGGTCAAAGAAGTCAAAGCAACCCGAATTCCCGCTTTAAATAGCGGTAATATTGGCTTTCTTGCTGGTCCTAACCTTAACAATTGCACTATTAAGGTTGTTGGTGGACCAACACCGAACACTGACATAGTTTGACATGTTGCAGGCTATGGTCTTGTCAAAGGCCAAGGTCGAATATCGCCACTTTCTGTTGTGACGTCACTTAAATTGTTCGATGACGTAATTGCATTCGGGCAGTCAACCCCGTCAGAAGTTGGTTTTGAGTCAACTTACAGTAAAATTCCTTCATTGTTTCCTTTTTCTTTTCAACACAAATTCCATATATTTTAGTTATATAACGGTAATGTTATGCATATTCAGAAGCCCTTGGTCTTTTTCAACCGTTCGGGCAGTTAAGGGAAGACGGGCTTCTGCAAATGATAATGCCCTAAAAAATAGCATTACATGAAGTTCGAGTAATGAGGACGGGTTTGCATGTGAATATCTAGCTTTTCATGTTGCTCTAGTAATGGTGCTACATGTACTCTAACACAATTAGGGTAATTTTATTGCATACACACATGGAATTATTAAGTACGTCAACAAATACTTGACCTCTGCTGTTATATCATCATGCATATTCTAGTTATGACGACACCTACATGAATTATGCTCATTGGAACTTGTTCCCCATAAGTAGTAATTACAGGACATTAAAGATGCTGTATGTCAGATACCTTCTGAAATAATTAATGATTTCCAAAATTGTGAGAGAATTGAGTTTCTTGTAATAGTAATAGTTAGTAATAGTTCTAGTAATACATTTATGATAATAATGCACGGAACACTTCAAAAGATAGGGAAGTATAACAACATATGGTATGCCCACCAACGATCTTGACGGGCTGTATGTTAAAATGAGAAATATATTTTGATGTCTTTTTTTATCATTTTTGTCTATTACCGCCACGATTTGTTAAGCATTCATTCACTCGACGAGACATACTGCATATCAATATCCCAATGGCGACTGGAAGGGATCTGTCACTCTCCTCTTGCAGCGACAAATTCAACTAACGTGGACGGCGGCCTTTGACGTTCACGGCCACATATACCAGTCATGTTCCAGACATGGTGAGGGGGGTGGAGGTCTGGGCTACTTGTTGGCTACGGCCTTCAGTGGATGCTGTGCTACTGGACGTCAACACTGACGTTGATGTGAATCAGGACTCGTCTGAAAACATGGCATGTGACCAGCGACGGTAACTCCAGTAGACCATTAGTATGTTGGCAATATGGAGACTTGCATGGCTTGGGACAATATATGGCCGAATTTTAATCATCTGACCCGTAAGTCGAACTCGAGTAACCTGATGAAAGTTTGCAGCATTTTTCACGTGATCTGTTCGAGCCCGATTTGACAGCGCCTGGTTTCGGATAAGTCGAACCTTTTGGTTGACCAGGGACGCAGCGAACAGGATCGTTCGTCAAGATTTTGGGATGTGTCTGTACCTGGTTCACATGCAGCTTGTAACGGAATGTGAAACAACTATTTCTGCGAGGATATCGCATGCCAAAGGCCTATAGATGCACCTTGCCCTGCAGATAATCATGAACCCCTCCTTTGCTTATGTATTTGGCTTGTGATCCCATGAAAATCATATCTTAATCTTAATTAAATAAATAACAGACATATCCTGTAATAAAGCAGATATGACATACATGAAGCTAACGATACAGAACAGAGATATACCTTTGGTTAACCAAGTTCAATCTATCATAACATCAGTTTGCGAATGCATTATGTTAAATATACAGTCACTCAACTGAAATAAAGCATGCTATCTAACCGTCTTATTCCCTGAATAAGGACAACATTGGATGCCTCCATTGTAAATATGTAAAACTGGAATACGCTATGCTAAGCACAGAGTACTGGCAAACATAAATTAGTAGTATTCATAGTATCCGAGGTGAACCTGAGAGTATGTTTACGTAGTCCTCTTAGTATCCGAGGTGAACCTGAGAGTATGTTTACGTAGTATTCATAGTATCCGAGGTGAACCTGAGAGTATGTTTACGTAGTCCTCTTAGTATCCGAGAGGTGAACCTGAGAGTATGTTCACGTAGTATTCATAGTATCCGAGGTGAACCTGAGAGTATGTTTACGTAGTCCTCTTAGTATCCGAGGTGAACCTGAGAGTATGTTTACGTAGTATTCATAGTATCCGAGGTGAACCTGAGAGTATGTTTACGTAGTCCTCTTAGTATCCAAGGTGAACCTGAGAGTATGTTTACGTAGTCCTCTTAGTATCCGAGGTGAACCTGAGAGTATGTTCACGTAGTATTCATAGTATCCGAGGTGAACCTGAGAGTATGTTTACGTAGTATTCATAGTATCCGAGGTGA